CGACACGCGTTTGTCAAGCAGCACACAGAGTCTGCGCCAGTCCATTACAGCTGCCGTGTGTGTGTGTTGCGCGGCCTTCGCGCCGCGTTAGCCACCGCGACCAATCACCGGCTGGTTCAAGTGAGACGTAAAGAGAGGGTCCGCCAGCGCAACGTGCCACTAGTCGGGGTTTGGGGACTGACAAGATATCTCAGTCCTTCTCGAGACAAGGCCCCACCCTTTGTGGCCTGTATGCCACTTTCACTGATGTGATATCCGAAACGCTCCCACAGAAGCCCACCACGTGTTTTGAGGACCAGGTCCTGTGTGACGGGTTCTGTAAATCTGGTCTGCCATTGTGCCCGAGCTCAACTCCAGTCGTCTCCACACTGTCTTGAAATCGGAACAGGGTGGGTGGGGTGTGAGTGAGGTAGCTGCTGTGAAAGTCTGCCCCGCGCAAGCCATGGGCGCTGCCAATAGAAGCGAAGAGACGAGTCCCAGGAAACAGTCGTTAAGAAGGAGACACGATCGCTGGGACAAGAGCTTTATTAGTCTGACGTTTCGGATTCCTGCTCGAACACATCATCAGAGACCAATAGCAGACCTGTATCTTCACCATGGGTGCTGCGCCCACTCCCTGGAGTGCACGCGGTGGACCTCGTCGCTTACAACGTTTGAACTGTCTGGGGTCATTGGGTCCCCCAGCATTCCTCTTTTACTTTCTGATAGATACTCCAGTTTAGACATTTTAATTTCCTCAGTAACTAACTGTGAATTTGGAATAGATCAGTATATACTAAGATCTATAGGCGTAGACCGATATGTCGTGTATGAAGCTTTTCGATCAAACCCTACGGGGTGCAGACTCGTTAGTAAGTGATGGGGCAGCCAATTTCGAGGGCACTGCTTTGACTTCAAATCCCGTGTCTTCCCCGCCCTGAATGCGAAGAGTGACTGACTGATGACGGTTAATATCTCGGAAACCGCGACATTAGCCTTTTTGCCCTTGTTGGCAGGCCGCTGTTCAAAATTTGCCTTGCATTCCGTCTCTTCCTCCCTTCTTCACCCAGTCTTGGCACTGCTCGACGCCGCGTCTGATGCCGATCAAACATCTGGATCCTAGCTGCGCGTTCGGTTTCTACTGCGGCAGTCGGATGGAGCTGGTTCAACTGCTCGAGCGACTGCCTCGCATCTCCGAACTGCGTAGCCCGCATCGGTCAAGCACACGTCTAATCGAGGTGGTTTCTGCCTCGCAGGCGACGTACCTCTTCAGTCCACCTATAACACCCCTACCCACTGTCAATGGGTCCAACCTGACAAAGGACCGCAGCCCTTCATATTCCTACCCTCCAATCGATGACAGCGAGCAGTTCGATCACAAACAGCACTGCAAGGAGAGGGACGATGTCTTCATCTGACGGTCTGCTCAAATATCCTCACCTCCCCCATCCCTCTCTCGCCTTTCCCCTTTCTTCACTACAAAGCAAACTGTGATTTCTTCGTTTCTGATGTCCACTCCCACCGCTCTTGATTTCTGAATAGCTGTGATTTTCTGTCCTATTCTGCGTCCTGCGCGCTACCGACCCTGTACACCGCACTCACCCCCCCCCCCCCCCCCCAATTCCATCCACACGCGAGTCCTTTGTAAGTAACCGTAAGAAGAGAGATTCAAATCAGGAAGGGGTTATTTTGTCGTTGATTAAAACATGCAAATCCTCTAACTAGTGACTGTTGTAAACTTGAGGTCGCAGACGGCCAATCATCTGTGTGTCATTGTGTGTAATCATGCTGTCTGGCGTCCAAGTCTTTTTTGGAAAAAAAGAGTACTGCTTTTATTTCCGTTTTCACCTTCCCGCGCTTCACGAATGGATCGTGCGAGGTCAGATCGCCTGTCCTGGCTCGGTATTGTAGCATGTTCATCGTAATCCGCGATGACCATCTTCATAAGATCACGATGATGATGATGATGATGGTGGTGGTGGTGGTGATGATGATGATGATGATGATGATGATGATGATGATGATGATGATGATGATGATGATGATGATGATGATGATGATGATGATGATGATGATGATGATGATGATGATGATGATGATGATGATGATGATGATGATGATGATGATGATGATGATCATGATCATGATCATGGTGGCGGCGGCGGCGGCGGCGGTGTTTGAGTACTTTGATATTGCAAAGCACTTAGATGTGTGCCCAACGGGTTCGCTCCTAACCGTAGCTGTACGCCGACTGCGGGAACAAGCTGAATTACTGTTTTTTCGCTCATGAAACCGTTGCTGCGTGTGGTCAGGATTCAGATGGGCCTCAAATTGGTGTAACCGATGAAGAAGTGGAGTTTGGATAGGCATGACCGGCGTGTGTGTGTGTGGACTTGGGTATCACAGTCGCTGTATCAAACGCGTCACCAATTGTGCCCCACATCAAACTCTCAGAGGTTTTGGCTGAGGTCACGCAGTCTCGGAAGCTGGAGTGTTATCCCGGGGGTAAGGCTCCGCGGGCCTTCGATGGTTCTATCTGCCCTCTGTGGTGAAGCGTGCGTCCTCTGATTCGGTAGGTGCGCCCCAGACGTTCATACGACTTCAGTTCGAATCGTCCCAGTCGCTGCACATTCCAACCGGCTCAAAGTCCCAATTGTCAGTGATGCGCTCCTACCACTTTCTTCTGCCTACTTTAACTTCGTACCGGGGAAAAAGTGCTTAAATATCTGACTTTGCCAAGGGTTCCGGTGGCTTTGAAGCAGTACTTTCGTTGCCGACTTTGGTGATTCTTGTGATGAGGCTTCCCAAGTACATCAATGGGGCTACTGATCGTGGGTTTAATGTATCTCGCTACTGACGACGGTTGATGCATAACCACTCTTTTGCGTCTGTTTATAGCCAGACAGGGGACTCAGCTGCATTGCGTTGAGTGCGCAGTTGGGTCCGGACAGGTGATGTAGCTTGGAAGCTCTCGTCTTGCCCCCATGGTACCTTGCGGGATTGGGATCAGAGTTGCGAAAATTCCCGTAGCAGTAATCAGAAGACGAGGTGGCGAGCCTGCGTAGCTTTCGGTAAATTCTCGTCGGGCCAGTACAGTTATATGGGAAGGGGGTAGAAGCAAAGCATGTCAGCGATAAGAGAAATCGATAAAAGTTCGCCTTAAGCACAGGCGGAATGTGGGGGAGGGAGGGCGCTGCTTATGCTCGTCATTTCGCCTTTTCCCAGCCATGCCGTGATGTGTTCCTTTATTCTCTTGGATAAGCGCTGACTAGTGCGACCAATATAACCTGCTCCACAGGAGCAAGTGAAGGAATAAATGCACATTAAGGTAGTCTGCAGTGGCAACTTATCCTTACCTTCTCCGCGTAAAATAGGGTTAGTCGAGATTGATATTTGAACCCTTGCTGCTGGGAGAGTTCGCGAGACAGCTTGATCAAGGCGTCTCCTTAGGGGTTCATTCGCAACGTCCTCTTGGAAGGGGACTTTGAGGAACAAAGTTTTTTTTTCAGCGGTCGGTGTGGCGGGTTTGACTGGTCTTTCGGCAATGTTCTTTGCAATTATCCTGCCAGGATACCTGTCATGATTTGGATCATTTCGAGATCGAAGTTCAGTCCTCCCTGTGGTAGATTGCTAATTGCGCCTTCACATACCGCATATGCGGCCAACAGAGGACGTTCTGCGAGCGTTCAACCGGGCTGGCTGGCTGGCTGTCCGTGGTGCTGTTCTGAGTCGCCAGGAAGGATCCGACCAGCTGTCCCCGTCCTAGTGGCTACACACGGCAGTTCCTTCTTTCACCACGGCTCGGCTCTGGGTGACTAGAATGCGTGTGCTGACAGGTCTTAGATGTACGCCTTCACGGCGCGTCGGCGACTGCGCTAAATCGGCTGACATACAGCACAGTCCTTTAGTGCATGAGAGGAGGAAGCGAGAGTGAGGCAACCCATCCTCACGACAAATCGACAGTTCGACCAGTGTGTGCTCCGCAGCAAGGTGAAGCAGGCACGGTGACTTGCGCATGAATTAGTTTAAAGTGAGTATGGACTTTCGCAGCATCTACCGCACCCTCTCCTCCCCCCCTCCACCTGTAGCCGGTGTCCAGACATAGTGAGGGACACCGGAGATGAGAGGGGCGCAGGTGGGTGGCGCGGCCGGACCTGCGCCTAGGCGTGCCATCACACCCCCTGGCATATTTCTCGCTATACTAAATTTAACATGCCAAAAGTCCTGGCTTGAAAGGCTGTGAACTGACAGAATAATTCCATGCTTTCGAGGACTAAGAACCAGACTGCAACAGCGCCCGTTTTGTGTGGTCTCTATGGCACTATCACTTAAGTGCTCTCACAGAGAGGACCAGGTCGCGTGTGGCGCACATACAAGCAGATTCTTGTTATTAACTGGGCCCATGTCCATCTCCAGTCATCTTGGCATTTTCCCACCATCAGAGCAAGCTCGGTGGGGAAGAGCGGGTGCTTTAGATGCTGCGAAAGTCTGCATAGCAGACGCTTTCAGCCCTGGAGTTATTAGAAATCAGCGTATTCCTCGATATACTACATTTGACGTGCCAAAAGTCCTCGCTTGGAAGGCTGTAAACTGACAAAATAATTCGGTGCTTTCGAGGTCTAAGAATCAGACTGCAACAGCGCCCGTTTTGTGTGGTCTCTATGGCCCTATCACTTACAGTAGGTGAACTAACTCGTGAAATGTTGACCTAAATTCTGAAATGTGTTCTCGTTTCAAAAAGACGACTTAAGTGGGGTTGTGAAGCTAATCATCCTGCAGCATAATTCTGTAATGATTCAGTAACATTGGGATGCCGGCTTTCGAGCGAACTTCTTCCTGGTCGCATGCAAAAATCCCTCTGTAAAAAATGTCGACCTACATAGCATGCGTATTTTTCATGGATTTTCGAGGCCCTTAAAAATTCTATTATATTTCGTGGAAAACATGCATAATAATATTCATTCCTATACAGATTTGATAGAAAATTACGTCTCCTTCCAGTTTTATGCTCGAAGGAATGGTACAATTCAGTTTTCAAAAAATTTGCTAATCCCCGAATAATTTAGAACACCACCTGCCGTTACACGTACATGCAGGGTTTCCAACTGACAAGCTACATGTTTTCGCGTACTAAAAACCATAGATTTCTCTACATTATTAAGAAGAGACTGTGTGGGGTTTATAAAATTTAACAGTGGATTTGAACCATGTTATAAACTTTACAAGCCACCTTAGTAAATGTAGAAACCCGATGCTTTATGAACTAGCATTTCGCGGTATTAAAAAATCTCACAATCAAAAAAAATTTTAAATCAGAATTATGTCCTTTTTTCGAGTATAAAACTGGAAGAAGACGTATATTTCTATCAAATATGTGTAATAATGAATATTTTCATTCATGTTTCCATGAAATATAATTGAATTATTAAGGGCCTCGAAAATCAATTAAAAAACTCATGCTACATAAGTTGTTCTTTTTTACAGTGGGATTTATCCATGCGACCGAGAAGTTCTTCCGAAGGCCGGCGTTCCAATGTTACTGAGTTATTATAAAATTATGCTGCAGGATGATTAGCTTTACAACCCTACTTAAGTGGTCTTTATAAAACGAAGACGCATTTCAGAATTTCGGTTAACATTCCATGAGTTAGTCCACGTACCGTATGTGACATCCGATCTCATGTCGCACACGAAGAACCAGGTCCTGTGTGGCATACGTAAGCGGACTCTTCCATTATTTTGGCCCGCGCCCGCCTACAGTCATCTTTACATTTTCTTACGATCGGAGCGAGGTGGGTGAGGAAGAGCGGGTGCGTGCGGTGCTTCGAAAGTCTGCCTCACGATAAACCAGTTAACGCGCGAGCCACCGCCCACACCTTAGGGCACGCGGCGGACGTTGTCGCTTGTGACGGTCGTATTGCGAATCTCACACGCCACCTACGGCACACTAATTTAAAATCATTCGATACTCAGATCGATTTCCGAATCGCGATCAACGATGATTTGTTGTCATAGAAGTGTTGCGTTCTTGACAGGCAGGGGATCGCATTGTCTTGGATGTCAACACTTTAAAGGACAGAGTGCTCTGAGTTTAAGAAGAACTTCTATCCTGATGCAAATTTAAAGAGATAGACGCTCCTTCAGCTGCGTCCTGTGCGGCTACACAGCACGAGGAAATACGTGAAACGTGGTTGCAGATCGCCTAACCCGACCCACACAAGCAATCAGACCTTCCTCTTTACTCTCAAACCTGTTAACCAAAATTCTGAAGTGTATCTTTGACGAGTAGGGTCGTAGGACTAACAATCTGGTAGCATGATTACAGCATATTTCTGGCACGGCAGGGTGGCGGCTTTTGAACGAGCTTCTTCCCGGCCGTTGAAAAAGACTGCACTCTGAAAGAAAACTACTACATAAG